CATGTTTTAATATTTTTTTCTTTTGGTGTTTTTTTTTTTTTTTTTTTTTTCCTGTTTGGTTTAAATTGCAAAATAAATTGGGTATTTTTTTGGGGGGCGGGGGTTTACTTGGGTGTCTTATACGGTTGTGCTGCAGAGATATGCAGTCATGGATCATATCCTGTAGGGGGTGTACTAAAGCAAAGAGTTGAACTCAAGCATGTTAAATCCTAACATTTGTCACTTCTCTTCAATAAAACCTGAGCATTTCATTAAAATGGTTCCCTTTTTGTGACTGATTCCACCTGTCTGTTTACTAGCAATGCCTCCTGCACCACCAACTGCTTGGCTCCCTTGGCCAAGGTCATCCATGATAACTTTGTCATCATTGAAGGTCTTATGGTAAGATTAAACTGCTTTTCCAATCTCGCCAAAAAGCCTTTTGACCCAAAGTGATTGAAACCTGACATGATGCGTCAGTTTATTCTGTTCCACTTCTCCTTATCAAGCTCTACACTTGATTCTTATTGAAATGCATCAGCTGATACCGATAGAGATGCACCTAAAGCTTTGCTTTTATAATCTTTCTCCGAATGTTAACGGTCTCCCTCTTCCCCACTTTCAGAGCACTGTTCATGCCATCACAGCCACACAGAAGACCGTGGATGGGCCCTCAGGGAAACTGTGGAGGGATGGCCGCGGTGCCAGTCAGAACATTATCCCAGCCTCCACTGGGGCTGCCAAGGCTGTGGGCAAAGTCATTCCTGAGCTCAATGGGTCCGTAACACGCTTTGAGATGTTTAAAGAGCACGCTTGTTGGATTGCAGTTTTAAAATCCACTTCCATGAAAGTGCTCAGCATGCCGTTTTAAAGGTCCGAGTTGATTTGAACTGCAGCCTATAGAAGTGTTTTCAGGATGCACTGATTTATTTACTCAAAAGTGGAATGTTCTGCTTGGGGAACTTAAGAATTGGTTTTGTTTTTGCTTCCCCTTTCTGCCATCTAAACATACGCTGATGCTTGTTGGTTCTCGTTTCAGCAAGCTTACTGGTATGGCCTTCCGTGTCCCCACCCCCAATGTGTCTGTGGTGGATCTGACTGTCCGTCTTGAGAAACCTGTGAGTTTATTTCCAGGCCTGCATAATTAAAGTGGCTTCAGTTGAATGAACGCTTTGATTTTCCTACAGCAGGATTGGTTCATTCTGTTTACCTCTGGGTGCAACACCATATAAATGACTCTACTTGCCTTTTGGCTTTTCATGTCCCTATTCTGTTAACTGCAGGCCAGTTATGATGAGATCAAGAAAGTGGTCAAGGCTGCAGCTGATGGACCCCTGAAAGGCATTCTGGGGTACACTGAGGACCAGGTATGCACATTCAGTTATGTCAGTGTTGTGACCAGTGTTTTTCAGCAAATTGTTTTACAACTTTCTGCTGTGTGCAGGTGGTATCTACTGACTTCAACGGGGATGTGCGTTCATCTATCTTTGATGCTGGTGCTGGCATTGCCCTCAACAATCACTTTGTCAAGCTGGTCACTTGGTAAGATGCTACCTAAAATTGTACATCAGAGTCTGGTATTACTCCAATATCTACATCTGAATTTTTTTTAAAAATACAGAGTGTAATATTTGCAAAATGATTCGTTATAGTTCACTGCAGACTTTCCCCTCACTAATGTTTGTATAGATTATAGGCCTATATTATACGACTCTTTGAAATGCTTGATTTGAGAGTTCAGTCACAACATTCCAAGGTCTGTTCTTTCCTGATAATGACCATCAGTAGCAATGCAGTGTGAGCCACCGCTCACGTCTTGTATCACACTGCAGACTCATTTTATACAAATACACTTTGTGTTGCTTTAATTTAGCAATAACCAGCTAGATGTATATCTCTTACATAAATCTATTATAGATCAGTGTTTTTGCAATTTTTTTCAAATCAGTAATGACCATCAGTAGCAATGCAGTGTGAGCCACCGCTCACGTCTTGTATCACACTGCAGACTCATTTTATACAAATACACTTTGTGTTGCTTTAATTTTGCAATAACCAGCTAGATGTATATCTCTTACATAAATCTATTATAGATCAGTGTTTTTGCAATTTTTCAAATCAGCATGCTCTTTCCAATGTCACAACTCTGCAACTCCTGTATCATCTAGACTTTGGAGCGTCCCACTGAAGGGCACAAACTCTGGTTTTGTACACTCTTTGCTTGTGTAGTTTTGAATAGCACTAATTAATTCTCTTCCTTCCCATAGGTATGACAATGAGTTTGGTTACAGTAACCGTGTATGTGACCTGATGGCACACATGGCCTCCAAAGAGTAAATGTGTCCCCCTTTGTTGTGGTTTTTGATGCACAACCCACCGTTCTCCCATCTGGTTGGTTGTTTGCACGACTTGCCTGGAAGGAAATTACATGCTTGATTTGAAGACCAATGTTGTTTTTATATGAAAATACTCTGTTCTGTTTTGTGTGAGGTTTAAAATGGATGTTGACTTCAAAGGCTTTTCTGTCTGCTAACAACCTGTGACAGAATAAAGTCCTCTGTTTGTGAGAAATGGAAAGTACGTTGTCCTTGTTTTATCTAGATCTAGTGACTTATTTGGGTCGGCACTCTTTCTAAAATTGGGAATATGATCTTTTAAAGCAAACCAGTGTTTTGATTAGTTTCCTTGGTAACTTATGGCCAATTGTCTAGGTGCCCCAATTAACATGCTTGTCAAGTCACATTTGTAGTGTAGTGAAGTAGGGTTATAGTTGGTTGACAATAACCAAATATAAAATTTATACACTTAAGTATGTAATGCATAGTTTAAGTGCATATTTTCTATATATAATAGATCAGTGGCTCACACTGAATTTCAACAAGTGCACTTCGTGTGAAACCATGCGGTTTTGGCATAAGCTTGCCTAAATGTTCATGTGTTTCTACAGTCGCTGCTGTGTTTTAAGGAGAAAATCATTTGATAAAGTTTACTCCTAGAGGAATTCAAACCAGAAATAGGGAAGTCTACACCACAGCTGTAGTATAATGGCACTGAGGAACAACATTGGAATTGCTTCCATACCTTTTTTCCTTCCTCATTCAGCTGATGAGTGATAAATGACTACCAATCAGAATCCACCTGACTCAAAGAAATCAAGCATGTAAAGTTGTAGGCAAGAAATTCAGCCCGTTCTTATGTTATAATTTGTTGGTGTGAAGGATAGTTATGTTTATAGTTATCGCTCACAGCTTTATAGTAATGGTCAGAATTTTTTTTTTTTTTTTTTTGTTTTTTTCTCTCTCCTCTTCTTCTCCTCCTCTCTCCAGGTTCCCATTCATTATGTCCTATATAAACAAACGGTCGCTGTGATTTTGCCAAGTGAGACATGTTCCTGGCTCAACATTACGGTCCAAAAATATAGACTTAACCCAATCCCAATCCCTACCCCTAAACCTAACCCTACCCATAATTTATTCCTAAAATCAGTGGGAAATGATAGCTGATTAACAAGGCTGTAGAAGCACCTAAACCTGATCGTAAGCCTAAAACGGATATTTCCTGAAAAGTTATCCCTCAATTCTGATTGGTTGATTGGAATGTTGTTCCAGGATCAACAAGGATGTTGATCCTGGAACGTGTTGTACTTGGTGAAATCACGTTCACCATAAACAAACATAGGAGCTGGGAATCATAGTCAGTCATTATGTGCTGTGTAAATCTGGGGAACACAGAACCCTGGGAACATAGGAATGACCCAGAGACAGGGCAGTAATTAAACTGCTAGTGTGCTGCTGTAAATTAGAACATTAACTGAGGTTTATGAATGCATAGCGTGAAACATGAAAATAAACTGGATTCTGTTAACCCCCTATTTAAGTGTGAAAAGCCTAAATTAGTCTGCTGCAGTTTTTCTCCATTGCTAACACTATAATTAATTTGACCCAATTTTCCAAACAATTCATTCAGTTGTTAAAACGGACACTTCTCAAAACAAACGTTTCACCCATTTTCACACATGTACATATTTGGTCAAATTTTTTTTTTTTTTGCAAAATACACAAATGCACAGGTTTAACAATGTTGTCATTCAGAAAACACAAGTGCACAGTATAATTTCCTCAAGCATTTACACATTTTCCCATGTGTAAACATTAAGTCGCAGAACTGATGACACACCATTCAGAATCTCAGGATAATAAAAACAGGAGCACAGGTGATTATGTGCTTTGGAAAATTAACCCTAGTGCTGGGAGACAAAGAGGAAGACGATGAGAACGAAGAGCAGGGGAAAAGAAAAATGAAGGGATGGGGTCAAATGACTCTTGTTCCTGATGAAATACAAAGCACTATAGTTGACTCTGTTCAGTACGATTGCAGTACTTTACATGAGAGAACTTTCACTATTCTATGTACAGAAAATTCTGTAGCATGTTGTACACAGAACCGCTGAATTGATTTGTAGCCAAGTACTTCTAACATGTACTGTATTTTTGCAGAACTTACAGTTACAGAGATGACTGTCTAGGGGAGGCAGAAAGTCTTTTGTCAGAAGACTAAGAAACTGCTCTAGTATGACAACTAAGATCATTACCAATACCGTAATGCAATTTGGCAGAAGATGCTGGATTGATTGATTGATTGACTGACAGTATACTGTATTGTGTGTTCATATTCAATTCTTTGAGCTGAACTTTTCCTTTCTAGTGCTTTTCATCTTATGTAGAATCTCTTCACGATAGTGTAATAAAAGCAAACTTTTCTTTAAGCTTATTGTTGAATTTCATTGCATCTGCACCCCTCTATTTATGTTCTATTCTGTAATTAGACACTGCCTTGCAAAATGATTCCTGATTCCCAAAAGGAGGTTTCTGTAACAGTGTTTTGAATTGATCTCACTGGTGTTCATTAGACAGTGAAGTAGTCTGTATTTGTCAGGTTTGTGTGTCATCTGAGGCCAAAGTTTGATTCTGACAAAAGAGAATGTTTTTGACTAAAATATTTGACCGGGAAGTTTGTACAAGTGTGTAGTAGTTTTGAGATTGTATATTGTTGTGAGAAAATGTGAATTGTTTCATGAATTGTGTGTTAGCAATTGAGAAAAACGGTAATTTCCACTACTCTAGTGAGAGTTAGTTGACATGCAGTTGCAAAGTTACTTATAGTTGGTAGAATGTCTAAAGTGGACTATCAAAATAAAGTGCAACCAAATATGATTAGGTTACCAGGAAAGTCTCTTAGACCTGGTCTGCTGGTAATGGGTATAAAAATTTCGAAACCTCTTACTGTTTTTAATTAAATGCAGTGTCTGCTCTCATCTAAGCACTGTTGCATTCTCTTTTGCTCTTTGACACACTCTTTTAGTTCAATACTGGGTCCATTTGTGGATTGGGGGAAGTTGCACCTTGACATAGACATGCCATTATTTCACCTGATGGGCCTTTATGAAATATGTCTATCAATGTTATTGATGTGCGAGTCAGAGGACCAGTGGATATATTTCAACATTAATGCACTGCATTAGCAAGGCACATATTTACCAATGATGAGCATGGAGACTTTATCGCTCAAAAGTTCATAACATTATTATCCATGCATCTTTCATATTAAAGTTGACATTTTCTAAAATAATGCAGTCTTAAAATATTATGATGTTAGGTTCCAAACTATCATCTTATAACAAAATCAAAGTTTCAGTTTGCCGACTGTGGGATTTATGGCACAGCTTGTTCTTGTGCATTTACTCTATGTGTGTTTATGCATGCACTTAAAAGCGGTTCAATTCTGTTGATAAGAATGAGGACGGAGGATTAAGAGACTTTATTGTTTAGTTCAGATGGCTGTTATCCGTGTACATTTACTCTTCAGTATGCAACGCCGACCCCCACCTCTCTCTCACCCACATTCACAGATTATGTCACTGTGCTTTATCAATCTTATAGCACCAACAACTGCGGTGTGTGCCGTATAATGTTTGTTCTCACTAAAACATCATGTATGGCCCCTGTTCTAAAAACCAACTTCCGACTGTCTTCTATTCACAGAGATGAAGTGTTAGGAGTGTAAAAACGGGATGAGAGGAAGGTAGAGGTGCGCATAAAGAGGGAGGAGGGTGTTCAAAAGGATGGGAGGGTTAGTGCGCATGAATCCTGATGGTCCTCTGGCAGACTGACCACAGTGGAATTGATTCGCTCCTCCCGTATAAACAGAGAGCAACAGGAACAAAAGAGGCTTAAGTCTGAAAAGCAAGCATTTCACTTTCAGATTAGGAGACAGTGGCAGACTGAAAAAGACGGAGAGATAAACACAGAAGAGGTGGACTGACAGAGGAAGGTGAGTAAAAAACTTTGACTTTGTTCTTTGCTCAGATGTGCCTCTATTTGTGGCAACATTTCATTCGACACTGATTTAAAGCTGAATTGTGGGTAAGTGAAATTACACATCACACTTGGACAAATTTGTTATATTTTTTTATGAAACAATACTTAATACTTATGCAGCTGTGTTTTTCTAACATATGCTGGGTTTTCTGGGTACAGCAGCATCATGTCTTAGTCTTTTTCTTTTACTTTCTGTCTGTCTCTCTGTTATAGTTAATGTCTAAGAGAGTGAATGGCTCATGGATGGGGTCTATCTCTGTCCCGTCCTCCATCCCTCATGCCTTCCGCTCACAGCTCTCTTCATCTGCTGACCTCAGCATAGCCATCTTACTCATCATCACAGGTCAGTTATTATTCTTTTATTAAATGATTTTTGTTTAATATATATTGGAGTTCAGTGGGGTCCAAAATTAAAAAGACCACTATTGAGAATGCTTCTAATTAAGAGATGCTTCAGAAAATGGTAAAACTCGACATATCATGTTGTTGTTGTTGTTT